TTAAAATTAAAAAAGGAAGCAAAACTCACAAAGATAATGTTTTCCAGACGCTTAGTTCAATACCTCAGTTATTCGCATTAATAGTGATGTATAGGTCCCCGAGGCAACATGTACCGCGAGTTCTCACTCTATGTCATTCATATTTTTTTCAAAGATGCTTAAGTATAGATTTTAGAGAGCTTCACCCACGAGAGATTGCAATTGTTCAAATTTTTTTTAAAAAAATAAAAAACAAAAGGAAGGTTTGGTCTACAGTAAAGTGAAAAAATATGACACCTTACTCACGACGCGACACCCTCTGGTTAAAATTGTAACTTTGAAGAAATTAAAAGTACTTACCGTGAGAATCCCAATTTTAGACCACTGGGCATATAGATTATTAGCAAATATATGGAGCTGATAATCTTCGGATTTCGAGTGAAACAGTCCCTTAAAAACTTTGTCGTAATTAATTCCCCCAATAATTTTAAGGGACGAGCGAGTCATAGACAAGAAATCCAATTTGTGTAGTAAAGTGCGAGCGATGTAACTGCTGCACCGTTGAGGGAAAAAGTTTGCGATTTCAACAAAAATGGACGACGTGTTGAAGGGAGAGTAAGAACCAAGATAAAATGAAACAGTGGAGGTAGGAACAGGAAAATAGTGCAGTGGCGTGTCTGATAGTGAAATCTTTTTCAAAGTGACGATCATGAGGGGGGCATGACGACGAATCACATCAATCTACAAAAATGGAAGAAGAAGCAAAAAAATAGGCGAACTGCATAGAAAAGCGAAGTTAGAGAGGGTTGAAAAAAACTCGAAGAGAGAACAAGAAAGAGAACGTGGACGAATGGGGGCCCGAGAAAATGCAACCCAAAGGTAAACGCAACCACTCCTTTTCGAACTTTTCGCGCGGGCAAAAAGCGTCGCCGCCATTGGTCGAATGAGAGGTCAGGGGGAGGAAGGAGAGAGAGAGAGAGAGACGAGAGCGTTTGCGCGCAGAAATGGCCGACGCATAAAAAAAAGTGTTGCATGGGTTGCATACGTGTATGCAAGTGAAGCCGACGCAATGCTCGACTAATGGCTGTTAAATTAAGAACTTGTCACCAGACCTGCCAAGTCTCCTTGAAAACCCGTTGAAAATTCCGTCCATAGGGGCTTGAAACTCTCATGTTAACTAGAGTCCCTATATACTGAGAGTTAGGACGATGTGAATCCATTTCTGATTGGTTCCCGTATTTTAGGCCTCCACAGTGTCATAAACGGGAATAAAGATTACATTTTCACGAATTGCGAAGATTATAATCTGGAATGGAAGGGTTCGGCAAGGAACAAACGGAATGAGAGGAGGAACGGAGAAAGGAATTTGAGAATAGGCCGATCAAGGATTACGAAAAACTTTCAATTTGTCTAATCTTTATTCCCGTTTGTGACTCCATGAGGGGGGGGGGGGGGGGTTGTCGCTTAACTCTCAGTATAAAGGGACTCTAATGTTAACGGCTCTATCCTTATCGACTAAAATTCACCTCATGCGAATGAGCAGGACTCATTTAACTGGAATGAGACTGTATTTTGCAATGAGGAGCAACTAATTCCTACTTTTCCATAAAAGCACCTATCTGCATGAGAAAAATAATGACGTTTGTGTTAATTTAAATGTGAAATGGGAATAGTAGTTTCTTATTTCGAAATGCATCCCAATTGGACTAACTGCATGTCATGTTGGCTGATTGCCTCTAATGTTTTATTTTCACGACAGAGAAATGGATGCTTTTAACTCAACAAGAGCTATAGCCATTTTCAAACAAGTCCTTTCATGCATATTTTTATGAAGGTCAGGGTGCATGTCGGAGTGGATACAATTCTATTAGATTTAAATATATCAAATTAAATAATATAACACCTTAAACGCTCCGGGAATTTTCCTGAAATGTTACGAATTAATGCTAGAAGGAACAATGTGCATTAAGTTTACGCGCAACGTAGTCCCTTTTAGCATGAATACGTCAAATTATGAAAAATATACTCACAAAAGTTCAAATCAGAATGTTGTTTATTTTACTACCATAAAAGTCAAACATTAGGGTGAATTGGACGTATTTAAATTAAAAAGAACTAGATACGTACTTATATGAGCCCTGCAGCTCATTAAAATATATGTATGACACAGCTCATGTCACAATTTATTGATATAGTTCCTATTAAAACCCTACATGTTCTTATGGTTACTTTGTGTTGTTGTTGTGTCAAATCAGGAAAAAGTTGATATGATTATTATGATTCTGTTCAAATCTGTCTAACTGAAAAATTGGGGCAACTATTTTATTGGTGGCACCACACGATTAAAGTGCGGTTTTCAAAATTGGAAGTCGATGACTGGCATTTACGGAGCCGCTCAATGGAGAAGGCTACAAAATAGACTCATCCACTTTGAAGACCTCAGTTTGATTGTGTGAAGTCAGCCTTAATTGCAGTTAAACAGACTTTCTATACAGCGAAACATGCATCAGACTTATTCAAAGTAGATACTAACGTTGTCCACCGTAGGACACCGGAACCTCAAACAAATTTCATTCGCTTCCCCAGTTTACCATGCAAAATTAGGCAGCCTAGATTCTGCTTGATATTTCATTTCTACATGCAACTATTCGCTCGTTCCGGGATGCAAATTGCATACTCGTCGAATTGAAGGAAATTTGATTATGTCCGTAGCAGTTTAAGAATTTCAACCTAATTTTAGAACTGACTGTGTATTGGCGGAGTTGAAAATAATCAGTTTTTTTTAGAAATAAGGGTTCTGATCGTCAAATTACTGCAAAAAGACCTGCGGATTCCAGCCACACTTTCAGGTTGAAGTTTTCATAGGTGCTGCAGCTACTGCACTCAGGTCGGCAGCTTTTCGCAAAGTTGAGGACTTTGTTGACTTCGATTAAAAAAGCGAAAAAATATTATATATCCGCATAGCAGACATGAAGTGTTTGTGAAGAGGAATCGTTTGGCATTTGTCAAATAGGAGATAATTGGTGACAAATATGTGAAGAAATGTCGTGTAAAGATTAATTTAGTCTAAACACACTGGTAATTAGACGAAATGAAATAGAAAATCCCTAGGCCATTGTTTTTAGGAATCGTGAGTTAGGAGTTTCAAGCTCGGCAGCAGCGTAAATTTTCTCAGGTTAAAAATTCGAAGTCAAGAGAAGTATTTTAATGTTAAATTAAGAGGTCGACTATATTTTTAACGCTGAGTCTTAGGAGAGATACAGGTGTATCCCCCCTCCCCCCATGAAGTCTATCTCCCTTTAAATCTCTTTTTCTCAGTTCCAACTTGACGTAGCTTCGTTCTTCTCCGTTGACGTGTTAAACCCGAAAGGTCTCATTAATTGACATAATTATAAGGAGGTAGTTTTGTGGCCAGCACCACCGCAGTGATAAATATTTCCGTTTTCCTTAAAATTTCACATAATGTGTATACGCCGGAAATATCATATTCATATATAATCTTAAAACTATGAAAATTTCAATAGCATTAATGTCAGATTTAGTCAGATTTTGCGATGACATACAGATTTTGTCACATAAACAGCAGAACGATGTTCCATACCGGTTGAACTTTTCGGCTTCTTGAATACGTGCTCCTCTTCTATCTCACCGACCTTTGAAACTAAACCAAACTGAAGAATGAGTTTAACTACAAGAATCGAATTGTCAGGGGAGATTGGACGAACTAGCCTAAAGTACGGTTATGCGCCACAAGCCGAACTGTGCAGCCGATTTTGAACATTGTATTTTCAAAAAAAAAAAAAAAAAAAAAAAAAAAAAAAAAAAAAAAAAAAATTCATGTAAAATGTCAATGCAACGACGTCTCAATAAAATCAGGCTACAGGAAAGTGCATGGGAGGAAATTGGAGCGCGACCCGGCAACGCGTTCATGTCACAATGAGCGTACACCTCGCGATGCAAGTGGGCAGTGCCACGGTCCTTTGTGAACCTCCCTCCTACCTTCATTTCTATCACCTTTCTCTCTCTCCCGTGCCCCCTCTCCACCCTCTCGAGTACCCGCCGTCCTCATCCCCCATTTTCCTTTCCTTCCTCTTTCGCTACTTGCATTACTTTTAATTACGACCCAGCGTAATTGCTCTGTATCCTCATTTCATATCCTCCTTGTCACCTTCCCGTCACATTACCCGCCATGCCCGTATACTTAGCACCGATGTGTTATCACCTCCTATAAAATGTTTCCTTAACTTCACACGGAACAGTGTTGCTCAAAAACGGTGTAAGGAACAATTTTGGGGGTGGGTTAATAGAGACCAGGAGAAGGGTAGAATCAGGTATCTTATAAATTGGCCTTGTGTCATGTGATCAACTGATCAATAAATATTTTCAAGAGTGAAATGGCTAGAGGGGGCCTGATTTACAACTTTGCTTGTTTTCACAATTAACTTTCAAGTGAGGAGAAGAAAATTTGCAAAAATTTTAAACATATACAGGGTTATTCAAAAGTCACGCACCACTGGCCATAACTTTAGTTCTAATTATGATATCAATTTGCGGTTTAAGACGTTTTTCCTTAAATCGAGGGGGAAACTTTTTTAGGTACTTTCCAGTTTTAGATCCCCTCGGGAGGAGGGGGCGGGGGGCAACTCAAAAATTTCAAATGGCCACCCCCCTCATGGCCAGAGGTGCGTGACTTTTGAATAACCCTGTATGTACAAGTGGTCAATACATTGATATAACACACAAGTAAAATAAATATAAAATGAATTGTTCTTGCGTTTTTTGATATCTGGCACGATTTTCTTCAAATTTCAAAGCCAGCATACTTTAAAAAAGAAGGTAAGCTTTTCCCTGAAATAAATTCACCCAGTTAAATAATCAAGACAACTCGTCGTTTTTCAGATGAAAAAACGCAACTATTTTTCAACATAGCAGAATTTCCATCCGTCAATTGAAAAAGTGTTGGATATTCCTCTTTGAAAATTCAGGTCTTTCTTCTGGAAAAATCAGCAATAAATTGGACAGACTTTTCACAATCATGTTTTTCAAAATCGATTTTTTTTCACATAAATTTCACAACCTCGGAATGGAGTTACGTTTGTTCGTCTGAGAAACGACGAAACATATTCAAAGTCAGCTTTCTTCAGAGAAACTTTCGACGTACTGAGCAACAGCGAGCTGCCGATCTACACAGCTGGTGCAAAAAACCGGCAAATTAAGTCGCTTTCGCGCATAAGTGTTGTTGAAATTGGCGTTGATGTTTTCGGACCAGTAGGGAGGGACGGCTTTGTGATTCTTAAAATTGTAAGGATACGACTTTAAAGAAACCACTCTATCAGCTCTCAACCGGAATACTGGTATTAATTTGCTGAGGTCGTCTGAAATATGGAACGAAGAACACCCCAACACATCGTTGAGGGTCGAAGGAGTGTCATGTTCCGTCTTCGCAGTAAATTTTACGAATCCTATTTGGACGATAGACCCAAAGTTAGATTCATTCTTATAATTTTTCTCCATAAAATAATCTTCGATTAAAGTGACATTAGCATCACTGATATAAGTCAATAACTCAGGGACCACCCAGGGAGGATTCAAAGAGACATTTGGGTCCGTAAGTATCTTTAACGCATTGGCTAGTTGTTGTATGATGACGTCATCAGGGGTGACAGCGTAAATGGCCGCACGTGGTGGAATGTAATAACCGCAAACATTTTCGTTAAAAACTGCGTCCGAGGGACAGCCTTCGTAGTCTATTGAAGGGAGCCGCCAACTAGAGTAAGGTACTTTCACTGAGGTGAATACGTCCAGCTCCTGTTGAAGCGTTCCTACGAGGACAGCAGGCGCCGGGTAGGCCATGTACTTGTAAAACGAACTAGCTGCCATTCTGCCGAAATGAATTTGTTCGTTCAAATCAGGAAAAGTCAGCTTCCAAAAAACACCACTGGGTTCGGTGAAATCACCGACAGCGTCGAGAAACTCGCAAATCGGTTTCGGAAGTGCGAATTGGTCGGGCATGACGCATTTCATGACAGAAAACATCCAGGAACTGTCGCCGCCTTGAGCGTACCTTATGGCATACAATCGGTACCAAAGGGCAACCCCGCAATAGTACATGAACATACCCATGGAGATGTTCTGGGTGTATTGGGGACTCATGGTACACAGCTGATGATAAGTAGCTTCGACCAGTTCGTTGAAAACACCAAAATCCGCAGTGAACCAAAAACTCCTGCATGCTCTCAGTCCGTTGAAACCGCTCAGTGTCCACGAGTGTGATAAATGTTGTATTATTTCCTCGTCGTTCGTTTTTTGGAGAACCTCATTCCGCTGATCTTCAGATCGACATATCTTTTTAGGTGAAAGGTTCACAATGTCCATTCTAGGTAGCTTCATTTTTTTCAACTTTAAGTGTGCCTGGAACCAAAGACAGGCTTGATGAATCAATAAACCGCTAGACATGGCATCAATGAAACGAGAATATTTCTGAATCGAATTTAAAAATATTACATGTCGTGCGAAATTCGACAATCTTAAATAATGACAAAAATGTTGTATTTTCCCATTCATCACTTATAGTCTACTATTTCAGCTAAAAATTGATTAATGAATGAAAATTTTGACGCTGATGATGGGTACCATTCAAAATGATTTTTTAATGGAATCACTTCGAAAACAAAAATTATAAATAGCTGGGAATCATTTTTGTTAAAAGGGTGTGAGCTCATTGAAATATTTTGCTTCGTGAAGGGCGATAAAAAAGTTTCCGGATAGAGTGCCCCCTTTCAGTGCGTTATCATAATGGTTAGAATGACCTTAAATTGCCACTTCATGACAGCCAATTGGCATTGCATTCCGAACAGAAGGATCAAACATTTGTCTAAATAAAATAAAATCGCTGAAAAGATGGCTAAAATACAAACCGGAATGTTGTCCAGAGGAGTAATATTCAAATTATTAGAATTACTCATTTTATCACTATTAAAAACACTATTTAACACTATACTTAATACAAGCTCACTTCACAAAATGAATTGTGTGATTTGTTTGTTTTTAAATAAAAAATAAATCGAGTGCAAATGAATTGGCTACAGAAAAGGCGATTTTTGGATGGTTTGATTCCTAGAGCCGATGGTTATCATTTCACAATCGATTAAAAGTAATAGACGAAAAAACTATTGATTGAACGCTTTTTGTAATGAATAAACGATTAAACAAACACTTACTCTTGAATTGGACCACTCATACAAAAGGGCATCATTGGCAGGTCCCCTTCTTTTTCTATCATTTCTTGTTACAATTTAACTTCTGTGCCAGACATTATCAATTTTATTTGAATTTTCAGTTGAGAAGAATTTGAATTTTCACTTTTTTCATTTTAGAAGGTTCAAAGAAATTCATAAATGACATTTGAACTTAGAGAGGGATGATCCATTCGCCACAATTTCAAAAGAATCTTTTAAAATTTTCTTCGTAAATGGGTCGTAAAACTTGGTCTGCATCGTCACACGCGGTGCAACGAAAGCAAGTTTCACTCACACAGGACAAAGTACCGTGGCTGCTTGTAAGTTTATGCGACAATCTGACTATTTTATACATATCGACGCATCATCTATGAAGTGTCATACTAATTTAGACTAGCGGGTCGATTGTTGACGTCTTATCGAATGGGTTTGCTCTATAACTCCCTATCTTTACCATTGTCTATATAACATTCGATATATATCGATCGAGGCCATTCAAAAACGATTCAACAATCCAGACACTAAAGTTTTATCAAAAATGCAATTGATAAAGGTAATGAATGACATAATCCCATTTTGGAGAACGTAGCAAGGAGAGAAATATGAAATTGAAATGGATCTCTTTGGATTCTCATATTTTGCTCCAGTGCCCTCCGTGACTGTCAAATTTGAGCCACAATCACAACTTCACAAAGGCTGCAAACGGTTTTAGTCTTAACGTAACTGAGTTTTCCATTCCTAAAAAAGTAGATCTTATCAAATTGGGCCAAAAAATAACAATGCAATCACCTATTTTGGTGCACGTGAAAACTAATCGATGCACATGTGGTTTTTCTATGAAGTTGTACTGGCGTCTATTACTCTATACGTTACAAGGAGGCGGTTAGTAAAAAAAAAGATTCTAGTATAGCTTACAACAAGAATCTCCTTGAAAATGTGAAAAAGAGAGATAATTTACCCTCCAATCAAGGTAAAATGGGTAATCATCCAACCTCACTTTAATAAATGAACGCGCACGGAAAAGAAACCTCGGCGCGAGGAGCATATACCCTCAGAAGAGCAATTTTTATCACGGTGTATCGAATTTGAATTTGGATTTTAACAGAGGGCACACTTTAGTATCATGTACAATAAGTATTTAATGTATCGTTAATTAATATGCTAATATAGAGCGTAATGTTGAAAAGACGGTTACCTAGAATCAGCTTGACCGCAGTTTACGTCGCCTAATTTTCTATCGTGAATAATTTATTTTTAACAGGCACTTAAACAAGTAACATGACGCACTGCAACTTTTCTTGAGTGCACCCTAGATTGCAAAGAAGACACTCACAAAATCCCGAGGTAGAGTGTTGCATAATCTCTCTTGAAAAATTGAAACGTAAGAAGAGATTATACGGAATGTGTCATACGGTTAATGTTGGTCACTACTCACTGCTTTTTCAACACAACAGTTTCAAGCCTCGAGTATTGTTATTAAAAAAGGTAGAGATGGTTTTCTTGAACTTGCGTTTTTTGAACCGCACACTCCAATGCCTGCATAACTAGTTTGATCGGACATCTTTATGAGTACTTAAATTTTTCGAAATAGAGTGGAAATAATTTTATATTCTTGCGGGTGGCCAATTTTTAGTAATTAAAGGAGTGTATATATTTCAATGAGAATCGCAATTATTTGTTTTAATATTCCAATGGCAATCCATCGAAAAATATCCATGAAAGGGTTGAGTTTTAAACTGGATATTTGGCAGAAATGGAGGAAGGGAGCGGATGACAGAAACATCCGTGAAATGACGAGTCAAGATGCTGCGGGTCGGGACGGACAATCATCCGAAAATGAGCCACGGAGCCCCCAGGGCGGGGGGGGGGCTGGTGCCCGCGGGTCTTTTGGAGGCGAGTGGCAGCGGCGGCGGCCCCCACGGTGTCTGCTTGGGGCCCCCGTGCCAGGGCCTTTTTGAATCCGCCGCTTAATTATCTAATGAATGACGTCTTTATCCCCGAAGCCCGCTTTGTCCCTCTTCCTACGCATTCAATTCGGCGCTTTTAATTACTCACCGGTCCAGTCCCTATGTCTTCTTCCAGTCGGGCACGAGTGCTCCTCATACTCCTTTCACTTGCGATACTTCCATCGTAACTTTTAAAGAGTTTTTTCTTAGCATGCACAGATATTGCTATGTCTAGGAAGAGAAACCAAATTATGTCGAGGCCCATGGCGGCAAATCTAGGAGGCGACAAAGTTTGCAATTTTTTTTAAATGTAGGTATAAAAAAAAATCGGATTTAGAAAAAAATTACAAACAAAATCTTTCATTTCCTGAGAGTATAGTAATTTCTAATTTTGTCGTCTTTCGGTGATGCAAGAGACAGTACCTTTAATTAATCGAGTTAAGAGAGAGACCAAACACGCAATTTGGCCAGGAACTGGGACTGAGAGAGAAATGATGACTAGGACTTGAGATGAAAAGGAGAAGCCCTCGGCGCGGCGGTCGGTATGTAACACATATTAGCGCCTACAAGACTGCGCGAATACTTCACGCATTGCATCAAACACAAAGCGGTCACTGCGGTCAGCGTGAAACGCATAGCGCCTACAAGACTGCGTGAATACTTCACGCATTGCGCCAAACACAGTGTGTTCAGCAGCGGTCGTCGGCGTGAAACTCATAGCGCCTACAAAACTGTCGGAATACTTCACGCATTGCTCCAAACACGGTGCGGTCTGCGCGGCGCGGCGGCGGAAGTTAAAATCATTGGTCCACATTTATGTTTGTTCTTTCATAATTTGTTCGTTCATTTCTTATGAATGGAAGGCCTTGTCCACCCAGAGATAGGTTTACGAAACTTAACGTTCGCGCAAAGTTCGGTGAATTTTTGCTATTAGTGTAGACAGGGCTTTCCCAAAAAATGTTTCCAACACGAGTAAACGCGTCTAATGCACACCACCCCCGCTGGCACGTTCACTTGATGGTTTTTATCGATGTTTCAAAACGATTGAGAAGGGGGCGGCAAAATACGGGCGGCCCATGGGCGGCAAGTTGGTAAATCCGGCCCTGGTGCCTTATCCGTAATTTTGAATTGGATTTCATTTTGCATTTAGGAACTACAACTTCTGGCTCATCTGTAAAAACTCACACTCTCTGTACTCACGGCTCTCTGTGCTCTCTTATGTACGTAGGGAAAATTAATGATACATATACGCTGTTTCTGACCTGAGCCGGAAATTATGCTTCCCAATTGCAAAATGTAGTCAAATTTGATGTATTTCTATCAAAGAGAACTTTGTGCAGGTGGGAAAGATGGGGTCTGCTCGTCAGTGCTCGGGTCATAAGAATGAATGGGAAGCACAAAACGCCAGTGACGAAGCCGTCGTCGCGGCTCCTCGTAGTGGGCATAAACTCATGAGCCCTGTTCACAACGCTCTAGACACATGCCAATGGCTCATACACTTTGCATACAGCTCCGTTTGACAGAATGTAAAATCCCGCTTTTCCACATCAGCAAACGGAATTGTGAGCCAACTGAATGCGGTTCCCATGAGCCATGGGCATGGCTCTATAGCGTTGTGAACAGGGCTCATGAGTTAATGCCCACCACGAGGATTCGCAACGACGGCTTCGTCACTGGCGCTGTATATTTCCCACTCATTCTTATGGCCCGAGAACTAAGGAGCAGTGGCGTGGCGTGACTGTATCCGGTAGGCGTTCGGTAGGAGTGTTAACTTTAGGGGGGGGGGGGAGAAAGGTTCACTCCCCTTCCTTAAAGGGGGGTCCGGGGGGCCTCCCCGGAAACTTTTTAAAAAACGAAGCCACAAGATTTTAATCCTTTCTGGTGAAAATTGTGCCGGTAAATTGTCATTGAAATTTTGTTCTTTTTACCGATCGTTTTCCTGTAATTTATTTTGTTAAATGATAAAGTATTTTCGCAACACGCACCTGCAGAGAGAGGTGGGAGAGGGAGACTGTGAAACTGGGAGATGCGGCCCGCAGGCGCGGGGGGAAGCGGAGGGCGAATCGCGGCATAGAGGAAATTCGGCGGTTCGCAAACCCCTGCGGACCACTGCTATAGGAAACAGCTGGACTGATGAGCGGCTTTCCTCTCTCGTTCTTTTCCCCTTTCTTTTCTCTCTGCTGAGTTCCCTCCGCGAGCGCGGTCCGCACTCGTCTCCGAACCCAATGCTCACGCTCCGCTCTGCGCCGCGCGCCGGTGCCTCTCCTCTCTCGTGTACCCTTTGCCCCTTCATCATTTCACCCAGGTTCTCTCTCCTAACCGTACGCAGATCATCCAGGTTCGGTAGCCGGTGCGGACCACGCGTCACAGGATTTGTCTCTCCGCCGCGCCACATGCCGCTGTCGGAAGCCAAGCGCCCGATACTTATTTGCGATCTACTATTCTGTATTCTGTATTGCTTCCCACATTCTTAGCCATAATTTATTAATTATTAATTGTTTCAAAATATTTTAGGGTGTTCGGCGAACACTGCGAACCTATGGACGCCACGCCACTGCTAAGGAGCAGACCCCATCTTTGCCACCTGCACATAGTTCTGTTTGATAGAGATGGTCCAATTATCAAACCACTATTCTATAGCTAGCGCAACCAACCTTTTCCTCGGCCATGGTCTAACCAACACGGGGTTTGTACGGGTCTGAAGATTATGACGAGGTGCGATCCGACGGTGGTGAGGTTAAGAGCGCGGAGGTGGCGATGGCTTCCACAGCCACCGCAGAAACCACACGGATTTCCAAGACATCACATGGGACTTGGGCGGTTTTAGCTGGGGAGTTGGTCGGCGGCGCAAGTTGCGGATGACGAGTGGCGAGTGCGGGGAAGTGGGAAGTGTCAAGTGCCTGAGCCTATCAAAGTTATTCACCTTGGCCGTCTTCTCGGAAAAGCGAGGAACAGGACCGACACCGACCAAGCCGTAGCCGGGGCCGTGTCGTCACCTTCCCGGCCACTCTCAGTCCCAGCTCTCGCTCTTGTTGTTGCCGGTAATTATCCCTCGTTCTTCATTCACTCCGCAAATATACATTTATATACATACCCGCGCCGCACCATGCACCGTACACCCGCCGAACTTGGCTCAAAGTCCAAAGAGTCTTCGTTCTCCTCACGGAAAAACGTAACTGAATTTCAATGTTGCCAAATTGCCTTTGGAAAAAAGAGAATTTGCAGGTGTCTTAAATTTTGTGAATTTCATCTTTAAAATGATACCGCTAGGAAAACTGAGTACGAGGATATCCTTGGTTTCGGAATTGAACGATTATTGAAGAAAACATGACAAAATGACCTAAACTGTTAGAACGTATGTGTTTACATGGAAAATGCCGCCAG